GTGTGTGTGTGTGTGCTAAATGAAGTACAGTAACAACATGCAAAAATATGAATGTGATGTGTTAAAGCAGTTGTTCTCACAGGAAACTCTAGAGCACTAAATATCTAGATTAGAAAAGAAGAGGGTTGGGGACATGGCTCAGTGGTAGAAAGCTGCCACAGTGTGCTCGAGGCCCTGGGTTCAATCCCCAGTATCAGAAAAATTATCTATCTATCTAACTAACTAACTAACTACAAAAAGCTTGAGTAATGGAAATAATAGAATAAATATAAACACATCAACTAAAAGGTAGAGACTGTCAGATTTTTTAAAATGCTAAATCCTAATTAATTAATTTAGTGTTGGGAATTAAGCTAATGGCTTTGCACATGCTAGGCAAGTGCTCTATTATTAAGCTATGTCCCCAGGTCTGAGAATCTCACTTTAAATATAAAGATAAAAATTAATTAAAAGCAAAGAGAAAAAAGAAATACCATGCTAATATTAGTCAAAAGAATGGTTTACGTTAGTAAATGAAATAAATTTAAGTGCAAAGAGTAACCACCAGGGATAAAAAAGGCAATTTCAAAATTAAAAACAGATCAATGCATTAAAAGAATACAACAATTCTCATGCCTTTGTACCTAATAACAGAGTTTTATCATACATGAAGCCAAAACTGAAAGCATAGAAAAAAAGAATAGATAAATCCACTATTATAGCTGAACATTTCAATATCTTTCTTGTAATAATGGCTAGAACAATAAGACAAAATCAGTAAGAATCGAGAATACCAGAATGACACAACCAACTTGATCTAATTAATGCCAACAGAACACTTCACCAAATGAGAGAATAATACATTTTTTCCAAGTGCACAGGGGACATTTAGCAAGGCAGACCTTAAAATGGACCATAAAGCAAGACTGTATAAATGTAAAAGGAGTTAGGCCATGTGAAGTATGTTTTCTGACCACAATGGAATTAAATTTAACATCAGCATGAGAAAGACAGAGAGGGAGAG